CTTCTCTGGCTCCACTTTCTTACCAGAAAGGCACGACAGCATAGTCTTCTCCATAAATGGGGCATCAGTCTGTTAGTTTATGCAGCAGGAGGTTATGGTTGAAAGTGGAGCAGTAGAAGCTGGGAAGATAGATTAGGGCCCAATTGCAAAGAGCACTATGTACCGCACTAAACTGAGCATGGGTATTAGTGAAAGGCGCTAATTTTTTTCTAAGGCATTTAAATGGTATAATCAAATCCATGTTTTAGAAAGGTAAGTCTAATGGCTGTGTTGAATAAAGTCCTGGGGTTGTGGTGAAGATGTGGAGGTAGTTAGGAGAGGAATGAGATGAGGTAGGGAATTCACCCAGGGGAATATTAAAATAGCTGATAGAAGATGATGTGACCCTAATTCTTCAAATATTGAACAGATTAATTAACTAATGAACTAATTAACTAATGAACTACATATTTCTATGTGTGTTTTTCTCCCCGTGTAAAGCAGTAGAATAAATACGTTCCCTATTCTAAAAACTTGATAGTAGAAACCACTTACTTTCTCTTGGTCATGAGAAACTGAATGCTGAACTTGGGATTAGCTTCAGCCACTTTAAGCAAGTGAGGAGTGAACTTGAGCTAGGAAAAAATGATTCTCGACGACCTAGGACACCATCATGGAAAGGCATTTTTTTTCCATTATACCAGTTACACGATAGTCCTTCTCCTGCAGCAATTCGCACATTCCAAATCACTAGCACTAGCTCCACTTCTAGGATAGTTGTGTCTCCTCAAGCCATTTCAGTCACTCCTTTGGCTCAATATACAGCTCTCTTGTACTGGTCACATTCCAGTAACAATGAAGGCTATTTACAGGGTGGGGAGACCTTATCAAACTTTATATCTATATACTTATATTTGATAAATCACATTCATAGGCTTAAAAAGATGTGTATGTTGCAGTTGTACATGCCAAGAGTTATAGGTGTATATATGTGTATATGGCCCCCATATATGGTAAAGAATGTCATTGCTCTTTGCAGTCTTTCAATTTTGCTCTACAGATTGATATTTTGAGTGTGTCAAAGGTGCACATGAATTAAAAGCAATATCTGGTTAATTGAAAGTCTTATCAGTAGAAAGTATTCCTCCACCTCTGGTAATGTTTTCTGACCTCAAGTGTGTTTCGTCTGATGTTTTTCTCTAGACACACCAGCTATCAATTGGTTAGTGTTTGTAATTATTTTCCTCTAATTTCAACCTTTATTATGTTTTAAATGGATGACCTTTTAAAAAGCAGTTGGCCTTTTTTTTTTAAAGATTTATTTATTTATGCATACAAGACCTGGGGTGTACAGGTCAGAGGTGCCAGAGGGGTGAGAGGATTCACCAGAGACAGCACAGGGAACAGAACAGGCAGACTGACTGAAATACACTGCTGAGGGGAGCAGTGGGTGAGACAGGAGAGGTCTGCTGTCCCATGTGAGTAGCTCCCTGGCCGGCTGGGGATTGAACTTGTGCTGCAAAGGCTGTGGATCGCTTCATAGTGCTATGCTTAGCCCCTTGCGCCACCAGGGAGGCCCCTAGACTTTTTTTTAACTACCAAGTTTTAACTGGAGTACTCAAAAGCTGATTCTTCAAATAATTGCCTTATTTCATTCTTTCTTTATTCTCCTAGAACTCTGGTTAAAGTTATATCTTCTAGAAGTCTCTTACGCACTCATATAAATAACTTCCCTATATATATATATCTTTGCCCCCCTCTATTTGCCTCCCAAGCTGCATTCTAGATCTTTTACTCTATTTTCCATTTCACTAAGTTTTAAGGTTTGTGTAATCTACCCTTAAAATCTTGTTGAATTTAATTTTTTACTTATGAAAATGTTTTACAAAATGTTAACATATTTATAAATTTTATTTTAAATAAAATCACAATATTTAAAATCACAAAATTCTATTTGGTGGTATTTTTTCAAATTCAAACTTGCTCTATTACTTTCTGTGGTCTCCTGTTCTCAGTAGATATTAAGCTGGTTTTATGTGTCTAACCATAGTTACCAGAAGCAAGCTGTCATCTTGTTTTATAGTCTTCCCCTCATACTTCCAGTATTTAAATCCTTCATGAGTGTCAATGTTGCTTGTTGACTGTGTGGATTCTTGCTCATTTCATCTAACTTCCCTTGTGTGCCTGATTATTTTTGAGAATGTGCTAAAAATTATATTTGAAAATTTTTAGAAATGATTTAGTTTTATGATGACAGGATCTTACTTGAGAGGACTTGCACTATGTTCTGCCACTTACTAGACAAAATACTTACCAGATAGCAAATTTGTATTTTTTATTACTAATGAAATTTAAAATCACATAATATGTTCATGAAATTATATTTAAATTTTTGTAATTTAGCTGTTAAAATCTTCTCCTTGTTTTTTCTTGGATCCTCTGGCTATTATAAAACTGGTACTCACCAAAAAAGCTGTTGTTGAAATATTAAAATACTTCCTTATCAATTAGCAAATAGCCAGTATCTAAGTGTTCTCCCCTGACAATTTCCCCCGTAACTTCAGTCTCTTCCAAATACCACCCATCTTCCCATTATCCATCAACTAAAGAGTTAATGTCCAATACACCAAGGGATCTTTAGAGCCCTGCTCCAGCTATATGGCCAATGACAGTTCTGCTCCATTAGTGGCTATTTCACAGATATTGTTAAATATCTTAGAGCAACATGTGTGCACATATATTTTCCCATTTGACAATAAGATTCTAAAACATCACATTGTATTGTTTTTTCCTTCCACATACTCTTTTCTAAATTTTTATTTATAATTAGTAACTGTTTCTCTCAAAAAATGTCATAAACTATTTTCCTTTTAAATTATTTTAACTATTTTACTTTTAAATTATTTCTCAGCTCTCAAAAATCTATAAAGGCACTTATTCATAAACATATACAAAATTCTCATTGAATTTTACTGTGTTTTGGAAACCTATCAAACTTATAGCTGTTTACTTTAAACCCCTTGGCAGATGCCAAATATTGCACATTTTGTAAATATTAGATCAAAATAAATACTTCATTTTGAATGAGTGATGAAGTATTTTGAACTAATTGTTATTTATGGTATGTTACTACTGAAGAACGTGTAAACTAATTTCTGAAAACTAAATCATCTTCAAAATTGCTTATAATTTTGACGTGTAAAGATAGTAGCTCTTTTAAAGTCCTTCTGCTAAATAGATCAATTAGATATTATGATCTATTTTTTATGAATGCTCTGTTTTAAATCAGATAACCACACCATTGCTTTGTTATCTGACAACATCTTCCCAGCATTTCAATTATCTTAATCTCATGCAGACCCACATCAAAAGCTTTTACAAACATTTAGATATATTGTTTGTCCATGGAGTTTTCTTTATCCACAAACTTGTTGAGTAATTTTATAAGACCAAATAAATCAGATTTGCCTGGTATAATCTGTCTTCATAAACAAATGCTGTCCACTGCCCATCACATTGTTATCTAAATGATTTCAGATCAATTTGGTTCACTCTAACTTGGGCAATTGCATTCTGCCAGCCCCAAACTCCCTCTGTTTTTCAATTGGAGACATTATTCTTCCTTTCACTTAACAAAGTGTTCTGTAAAGCAAGCAGGCAAGTTTCTGAACCAATAAAGCCTAGTTTCCTGAAGATTTACATCTCATAGGCCAACTGAAACTATGTATTCCATCCATGTCATAGCTTTAACTGGTGACATTATTACCTAAATCATTGTACTAGATATCATAAATAATATTTGGTGTTACATCAATAGGAGATGTAGGCAAAATAAAGAATGTTTTCCTCTTCTATGTACTCTTAGTACATACTAACACTAGATTCCCTGTGACATAATTAGATACTGTTGAAACTGAGTTTTATATCAGAGGTTAGTAATAAGATACATTGGATGAGAGATGACTTCATTGAAAATTCATTGTATATTATACTAAGGCAGAATGATCATTGTGCTTTATCCAAGAAAAATGATAATTCTATATTGCAAGGTAAATGAACAAATTACATCATTACTTTCCATGTCATTATACACAATGTATATATTTTATTAGTGCTATTTCTCTTAAATTTATGTGATTCTTACCTGTGACATCTCTATAAGTAGCCATATGTTAACTGTAGACAATCAAAAGAGACACATTTAACGCACTTGCAAAGCATGTTTCCAGAAGGAGAAGAAAGGAGCAACTTTCCACTTTGTCCCTATATTCCATAAAATGTTAGTGCCCCTGCATTTTAATTTGAACCAGGCTTAGCTTGAACTGATATGTACAATGTCCCTGATGCTCTATAGGACTATTTAAACAATAAACAAACAAATCCAAATTCCAAAATTCCGTCATAATTCCCAGGAAATAATTCACCCACTGGAAGAATGTGTCATTGTTTTGCTTGGAAGCCATTTTGACCTGTATTTGTAGTGCCACATCCACATATTCCAAGAAGCAGTGATTTGGAAGAAGATATTACAAGGCAACATAGAATAGAAAAAATGCTATTTTTTATGTACTAAAAGATCTGTTTACTAATGGGTATAGTTCAAGTTTCTCTATCCAAAAAGGAATCAAAACCCAGGAGGAACATGAGTAAAGACTAGAATAAGTAGGTATAACATGAATTTATTGTGATCTCCAATCATCATTGTTATTATTGGTAAATTGGTCTTGTTTTGTTTTGTGTTTTATATTAAGGACATGAGAGCTCATGAGATCAATTATAATAGCATCTTTGTTTTTTAAAATTTCTATTGCTAAGTATGAACCATGCTTGTTTAGTAGAAAACATTATGTATTGTGTATGTATGTGTTGGGAATGATTACTAAAAAGACATGATGATTGTGAGAGAACAGGATAGGATGTCTCAGGAGTGGCTGCCCATTCTTTACCTCCTTTGTATTTTTCTAGAGTCCCTACATAGAGATAATTAGATATTTGCCTGGCTATTATCTATCAGAGATGTTTGTCATTAATATACCTTTATCTTAATCTGTGGACAAAGACTCTGAGACAGGCACAGAGAATAAATCCTCTTTTCAAGCCAGAACCTATTGTTCAGTATGAGTTTTGATACAGATAAGAAACATGATTTTAAAAAATAATATAAAAGAAATATTTCTCGTTTTACTACATTGTAACTACAGTGCTTATAGCTAAGTGTTATACTTCCCAGTAGAGCAGATTTTCCTAAAGGTTTGTTGTTAATATTTTGTTAGGTAGGGGAGGCAGTTAAGAGAGGGTAGAAATACAAAGAAAACTTAACCACAAGAACTTTAACATTCTCAACCAAGATTCCTCATCTGAACTACAGTACACAGAAAATTTCTCGACTGTCCTCTCAGTTCTCACAAGTACGGCACATGCCAGCGGCATTCTAGATGCATAGAAGAGACACTCACAAGCTACATAACATGGGAGCCATGCAGGCTTAACCCCCCTTAAGAGAAGAAAAGCCTGCAGTTATATTTAACTAGAGTCTTTAAATCGTACATTGTAACTTCAACATATCTTTCAAAGAGAGTTGTAAGCAGCTTTAATAATTTCAATCTCTCCTGAATAAGAAGGCTAACTTGCTCCCCAAGTGGGTTAATTGTGATTAATTCCTTGAAAGCATCACTATTACCTCAAATCTTTCTTTTTTTTAAGATTTATTTATTTATACAAGAACCGGGGTACATGCCAGATGTGCGGGAGGGTGAGAGGATTCACCAGAGACAGAGCAGGGAGCAGAACAGGCAGACTGATGAAATACACTGCTGAGAGGAGCAGCGGGAGAGACAGGAAAGATCTGCTGCGCCATGTGGGATTCTCGCCAGCCAGCTGGGATCGAACCCACACTGCAGAAGCTGCGGACAGCTTCACAGCATGGCCCTCAACTGCCTGCACCACCAGGGAGGTCCCTACCTCAAAACTTTTATGGCACAAGTATTAGGGTGCTGGTTAATGAAAACAAGTGCTTAAAAACTGTTTGAAAGGTGCTAACTTGGTGTCCAGATCATTAAGCTTTACTCCTAATTTGGTCAGAAACTTATCAATAGGTAACCTAACTTTCTAAATATTATCAACTTCAAACACTCCATTGAAAAACAAAGACAAATAACTATCACCTTTCTCACAGAAAATACTGAGACTCAAGTCTTATGTTTTTGTTTTTGTTTTTTTATAAATAGGAAACTAGGACCGCAAAATCTATTCTTATTGAACTGTTTCTTCTGTCTCCTCTGGTGAGAACCCCTTAAAGTTCCGAAATGAAAGAACATATAAAAAGACAAGGAGGGGAAGGCAAAGAAATTTATAACAGAGTGGAGCTAAAGCATGTTAGATATCCATTAGCATATTTAAGAGTCTACACAATGTCCATAAATGATTAATATTTCAACTACAAAAGTTTGCACAGATATATTCATAGATATAGATCCATAAGACAACTACAACCTATCTTGGACAATTATGTGTGAAATCCTCATGACTGTTCTCACTGAACAGCTCTACTACGAGTGGAGGATTTTCTGAAACTGAAATTGCTATTTGCACGATGTGGTGCATTGAAGCAATTCAAGGCTTTCATTCCACTTCACTGGAAATGAAGATTCACTATATTAATGTTCTCTAGACACTTATGTGGTGTGAAATTATGCCCCTCAATTACAAATTCTTCCGGCCTTCTCTCTCTTTGCTTCTCTATTTTCAAGTCTCATTTCAAATACTCCACAAAATATTTGGCCTCACTTGGCATAAAGGAAGCAAACCTCTGTGCCTTCTTTTCCCTGCCTTAATATGGAGATAATAACACTTGCCTCTCTTATAAAAATACTGTGAGGAACAACATTTTCTAAAGCATTTTTAAAACCATATATATAAGGGCTAATGGAAATGAAAACTGTGTTGTCATCTATTCTTTCACTTCCTCTCAAGTTGGCCATTTCTTTTCCTTTTTTTTTTTTTTTTTTTTTGGTTTGGATATTAAAGAGAAATATTGTATTGAATGTTAAGCTTAGTGTTTTTTTCCTTCAACTTCTTCCCATTTCTACTTCTTTGAGACCTCTTCTGCTCGTACTGCCATAGAATCACAAAATGCTTTCAAGACCCCACCTAGAACTAACGGAAATATGATCAGTTTTATAGTTAAAACACCTGGATATGCCCTAATCTAGAACCAAGTACCTTCAAGAATACTAATTTCTAACTTAAAGCTTCACGACAGCCACCAGTGGACTGGGCTGCCACTACCACTCCTGTGTGACCGCCTGTGCATGGTCTCCACCCACCTCCCTGCATTTGTGTTGATTGAATGTATCATCCCTCTCATCACATTGTGAAGCCTTGAAGGAAGTGACTAGGTCTAACCACAAAATACCTAGCATGATGTTCTACTTGTAGTGTGTATTGAATAAAAGATTTAAAATAACTAAATAAAACTGAATTTTATGTGTCCTAAGCTAGCTGCACTCCAGCAGTCTTTGGTGCCAAACTGGACAGTCTAGATGTACTACTGCACTTTATTTTCAAATTCAAAGTGTTCCAGGTGCTGAGAACTGTTTAGCAAGATTCTAGGAATCCATGTAGATCATTTTTTATTTTTCTGCAAGTCAAATGCTAATTGAATGCTCTCTTTGGAACTGTTGCAGTATTTTAAGATATGAGCCTCTTTTCTAGCTACTATACAACCATTTCTTCAGAAAAATACTTTTCTGATACATTAAAGTACACAATCAAAGGATACTATAAGAAGTAAAGTATGCGGTGAAAGGATGTGGTTGAGTAAATTAGTTAGAGAAATTGCTAACTCAATTAACTAATTGAGTAAATTAGTTAACCTGGAAATTTGGACAGACCAAAGTTCCTGTCCTGACTGTACAACTTGCTGTGTTACATTGAAAAACTAAGCTAATCTCTCTGAACCTCTGTTTCCCATCCTTAAAATACTACTTTTCTTTGAGAGTGGTGAAGATAGTTTTACTGTAAATAATACTAACACATGCCTGACACAATATATAAGCTCAATTAATGGCACTAATCATTATTATTATAAAACATACTATTGACTGTTATATAAATGAACCACTGAAGAGTCACCTTAACTAAAATAACTATAAAACACTACTGAAAATAACTCTAAGGAACGCCTAGACAAGTGAATAACTGGGAGGTTTTTTTGATTGACTAGGTAATTAATCACAATTTTCTCTCTGTCCTATACCACTTTTAATTTAGAGGATGAAAACTTTGGTAAAATTATAAATCAAGAATATAAAACCATTGAGTTCGAATAAAATGATTTCTAATTTTCTCATAGGGTTGTTCCCTTGGAAAGAGGAATTCTAGATATCACAAGACTTAATTTTCTAGCCTGGTTTCCTAAAACAGGGAAGAAAGGGGGCAAGGCAACCATTTGCTCTAATTATAAAGTTTTTATATCTTATTCCTACAGGTTCTACACAGGAATCAGAGTTAAGTATTGGACTCTCCATTGAAGTAATATTTTCTTCCAGAATTTTAAGGAAATGGTATTCCCCAGGCACAGATATAAGGTTGCATAGTGACTATCTCCTCCGCCCCAGGTTCTTTTTGAAAAAAAAAAAAAATTGAAGGAATAGCAAAGAATATATTTTAAGTGCAAACAGTTTTTCAAGCATCTCAGAAACATGCGAGCACAAATGCCTGGAAAATAACACAAATCACAATAGGAATAAATTTTGTAGTTGCTTTTTTCCTCTAAGCTGCCTGAAGAACAAAGTCACAGAAAACATCTTTAAAAAAATTAAAGATACAGGCAGATAGATAACTGGATAGATAGGTAGTGATAGACTGACAGATAGAAATTATTATTAGTGAAATCCCATCATAGGAAGGTTCTCCAGGGTAAAGGATGTCAAACTTAATGCTTCAAAGGAGATTAAAAACACATTTGAAGTGACAGTTTCTGATCAATCAGTCAAATAAATAGGTGAAGATTTGCCAGTGGAGAGAAATATAGTCTTTTAGTTTGTCTCAATCTAACTGAGCTAATACAAATAATTACTACGTTTTCCAAACAGAAGCATTGACAACTTGGAATCCTGCAATCACATGACCCGTTATAATAAGAGACAGGACAAATTAAATGGGGCAAAGCACATTCAGAACAGCAAAGCCATTTTGTTATTACATGTACATTAAATAATGGATAATGTGGACATTTTGAAGTAGCAATGACATACACTAAGGAATTTGGAACTTCTAAGTCAGTATTGCAATGAGATTTTCCTTCTAATTTTATTCTTAGTATGTTGCTAGTGTTTAAGTGTTCATAGACAGAAAAAAAATTATCTGGTGGGTAAACTATAAATAAAGGTTATACTTTGGGAAAGTCATTTTTCTGTTCCTTTTTGTAAGTGTTTATAATTGGAGGGAATTAAGAAGAGGAAGAATTTTTACTCTGTTGTGAAAATAACCAACATATTTAGCCTAAAACTGTACTGTGCAATTTGATATTTGAAAAGTAGTTGGAAAAACACTCATTTTTAAAAGTCTGTACAAAAATCAGTACTGCATTCATAGATTTTTCTGTAAGGCTTAATTCTTGAATAATGAAATCTTAATCTCTTCCAAGTGAATTAGATCATTCAAAAGCAAACTTTCCCCTTTTTTAGATTATACGCAAAATTTATAAATCTTGTATTTTATTTCCTAGTACTTGAAAATATTCTGGATTGTGTTATTCTCATTGTCATTGCTTGATTTTCTTTGTGTGTTTTGGGGGGCAGAATTTTTAAATTCTTTATGGGTACCACAACCCATACCATTTACATCTTGATATCATCTATAACATTTAAATCAGTTGAATTCCTACTACAGATTCACTGACTTAGATTGAATGTCTTATAAGATTTTACCACATATTAATCTAGAGCTATAGGATCAATTTTTCATTAAATCTCTTCAAAAAGTTCATAACACCTCTAACAGCAGTCCTGTTTAATATTAAAAAGTAGTCGCCAAAAGAATATTCTTCATATGTGTGTAGAGATAGATTAAAAAAAAATACCTTATTTGCTTTACCCCCAGGGTTGCATGGCATTTGCCACAATTAATACTAGGAAATGCACACT